GTGCGAAGGGGTGTGGTGCCAATGCTGGATCTGGCGAGGTCATTTAACGCAGACAGCATCGCCATTTCCACGATTGGCACCACATCCCCGCTGCAGGTCGGGAGGCCGCGGCGCCTCCCGCGCGCGTTGCGCAGGGTCGGGGCTCCCGGCCGCCTGTGGAGCCTCCTGGGCCTCCGGGGCGCCCTCACTGCCCGTGCGCCCGGTCCTGAGCCCCGAGAGGAGCCTGGCCGGCAGCGGCGCACGTGCACGCCCGTGGGCGACGAGCACATCCGCACCCGCGGCCTCGCGGGCCGGGCCCCGGGGTCGTGGCCCCGGTGGCTGCGCAGGCGTGTTCCTTGTTCGCGCGGACCCCCCGCGCGAGACGTCTCCGTGCGACCGCGCGCCCGCGGGTGACCGCGCCCCGGGACCCATCGGCGGCGAGCGAGGGGGGGGCAGAGAGAAGGGGCGGGCCTTCTCAGAAGGCCCGGGGGTCCGCCTTCCGAGAAGTTTCCTGAGCCTTCCCGAGGACACGGAAATCTCCCCGGAAGGCGCGAGGGTTTCTGAGAAGTCCCGCCGCCTTCTGGGAAGGCCTTCTCCTTCTCACTTTCCCCCCCCCCTGGGCACGACGCCTCGGTCAAAATCAATCCCCGGAACCCTCCCTGGGTCCATCCGATGCGGCTTTTCACCCCAGATCGCGTTCCGGCGGCCCCAGGGCCCGAGAACCCCCAGAGGCCGAATACTCGGGCCTCGAACCTCGAACCTCGCCGCCTCCTCCCTCTCGCTCCTCCCCCCCTCGCTCCCCCCCTCGCTCGCTCGCCGAGCCCAGACCGCAGAGGGTGCGGCTGCGCACGCGTTCGCCGCTCGCGGCACGCGGCTCTGCCTGCCGGCCGGGCGCGCGCCACCGCGGCGCGCGCGCGCGCACGCCGGGCCGCGCGAGGGGCCCAGTGGCACCGCCCGCGGGCCGCGGGTGCGGCGCCCCCCGGGCGCGTGCCGCGCCGTGGGGCCGCGCCGCGGCGCCGGACTTCCGTCGGGCTTGTCCCTCTGCAGGAGGAGTCTGCAGAAGCAGTTTCCAACAAAGCAGTCTGGGGGCGATTTTCTTCGACGACTTCTGAGGACTGCTTCTGCAGATGCTGCTTATTACTCATTACTCCTGTGATGCATCATTCCAAAATCCGCCTGTGGGAGGACATGCCCGACCTAACGCCAGACAGAGCCCGGCCACGCCCGCGCCCGCCCTCGGCAGCCACCTCGGCGGTCCTCGAGGCGGGCCGGCGGCCTCTGTCGCCGAGCGCCTCGCACTGCTCGCCAGAGTGCCTCATCGCAAGCCTCCGAGCAAACAACACGTCTTCTGCACCGTTGGAGTGTGTAGCGTCGTGGATCTCCCAGGGCGGATCTGGACCGCTACTTGGCGAGTCGTGGCACGCGCTCGGTCTGTTCTGGGTGCTCCGAGGAGTCGGAGGAGGAAAATCGTCATGAACCTACACTTTTGGCGCTCCCAGCGGACTTCTTGGATCCGCGCTGGGCCACCCCGGCGGCGCCTCCGGCGCCGCCCCTGGCGCGCTCCGCGCGACGGGGAGAGGGGCCCCGCACAGCTGCGAGAGCTCCGCGCGGAGCGCCAGAGCGCTTTCCTGCCCGTGCGGCTTCCTCTTCCTCTATAACCCCAGGAAGCATTTAAGAACCCCCCCCCCTCCGGCAAATCGATAACTCTTCCGCACCATCATCCATATCCGCATCATCATAATCATCATCATCATCATCATCATCATCATCATCATCATCATCATCATCATCATCATCATCATCATCATCGTGTCCGGGTGCTACAGCTATCGTTCGGTTATTTCGGCCCTTCGGAATATCGAATAAAAAATGCGGTGCTACGATATCGCCGGGGGGTTTCTTAAATGCTTCCTGGGGTTAAGGGAGGGAGCCGAGCTGGCAGGCCGCGGGGGGGCAGCGGCGCGCGGGTGTGGCCCACGCCGCCGCGGGGCCACGCCGTGCGGCCGGGCCGCAGGAGAGAGGGCCGCGGCCCCACGGCCGCGGCCGCCCTCTCGGCGGTTATCGCTCGGGCGGCGCGAGCCGGACCTGCCTCGTCGAGGGCCCAAAGCACAGCACCGGGGCCTCGGCATTCAGGAGGGAAAGAAGCACAGCACCAGAGGCCTCGGCATTCAGGAGGGAAAGAGGCCTCTCGAGGGCCAAAGCACAGCAGGGCCTCAGCATTCAGGATGATGGGCTTGTTTTCCACCACCACCACCATGAGTTGGAGGGGGAAGGGGTCCTCCTCCTCCTCTCCCTCCTCCTCCTCTTCCTCATCCTCCACCTCCTTCCCTCCTCCAACTGATGGTGGTGGTGGTGGAAAACAGGCCCATCAAAAGAAACACACCGACACAATTAATCGTCGATCCCCCAAGACAATCTGGGACAAGATGGGAACTGGGCGGGGAGGCAACAAAAACCCAGACAATACGAGAAACTATATGGGGAGCCTTTTTTTTGATTCGTGTGTATTTACTTGTGTGTCCTTGGGCCCCTTGGAACATCTAAGACTCAGTCGAGGCTTTAAGCAGTCCAGATAGGTCTATCGTCTGGAGGGCCACTTCTTACAGCACTCTGGCGTAAGGTCAGGGGAGGAGAGGGGCGGCGCGGGGCAGAGCGGAGGAAAAGGTGCCGACACTCGAAGAAGAAACCCCGCCATAAACAGAAACTATTGGCGGTCCGCGCGGGTTTCTAGGATGCGCGCTGGGAAATCCTTGGCGGCGCCTCCGGCGCCGCCCCTGAGCGCCAAAAGCTTATGTTCATGACCCAGCTTTTCTTCTTCTTCTTCTTCTAGACACTGCTGCCCCAGGTGTCCTCTCCCCTGTCGCCTCGTCGTTCGATCCCTCGTGTCCTTGTCCTCGTCGTCGTCGTCCTCCTCCTCATCCTCCTCCAACTCGTGTGGGGTTTCCCAGAATTTGCAGGAGAAAGACTCCGATGCGAGTCTAGACTTCATCTCGCCCCTGTCCCAAGTGTGCAGGACACTTGAAGGATCGCGATGCCTTCTTCTGATCAGACATAGGCTGTCCAGTCGGCTGGAATTGCTTCGGGCTTGGGGAGAGTGTCGGGACTTCCAGGGATGTCGCTGCCCGTCCTGGGGAGCCATCGTCGCCGCGGCTGGGTTCTCCTCGGGATCCTGGCAGGAACGCGTCCCGTGAGAGGTCCGGGGAGTAGCGGTGTCGGTACACTTCTCCCCCTGGAGGCGTGCGGTTTCCTTAGAATGCGGGGGGGCTTTCTAGAAGCACCAGAAGCCATCCTCCCCCTCCTTTCCCTCCTCCGCTTCCCCCTCCCCCTCCCCCTCTCCCACTTCCTCCTCCTCCTCCTCCTCCTCCCCTCCTCCTCCTCCTCCTCCTCCTCCTCCTTCTCCTCCTCCTCCTCCTCCTCCTCCTCCTCCCCTCCTCCTCCTCCTCCTCCTCCTCCTCCTCCTGCTCCTTCTCCTGCCCCTCCTCCTCCTCCACCTCCTCCTCCTCCTCCTCTCCCTCCAGAAGCATGCGACTTTCTGTCCAGCAGCGGAGAAGAACAAGGAAGTCGACGTGCATAAGTTTCATGTGCATCGAGCAATTACACCCTGCGAGCATGCGCGGCATTGGACGGCATGGTGCGCTAGAGTCGAATGTGGCTCGGTATGTCATAAGTCTTGGGCTGAAATATCGCACATACCACGTTTGCGTTCTGTTGTGTGTCCCTCAATGCACCCCGTCAATGAAGGAGTAGCCAAAAGCTGTTGGCCCGCACAGACTGCGGGCTGGCAGCTTTTGGGTGCTCCTTCTCTGAAGGGAGAGTTGGTAGGGAGCGGGGTGGGTGAGGAGGATGGCGAGGCAGAAGGAATGAATGAAAGGGTGGACAAGGAGACTTCTGCTGGTGATGATAATGGTGGTGGTGATGTTGAATGTAGTAGTGGTGGCTTATGTACTTAAATCTGTATAGGTTTATGAGGGTGAACAGGAATCTTTTCTGTGCATGTCCATGCCGCTTTCTGTGTCTCTCTTCGTGTGTGCGTGTATGTGTGTGTGTGTGTCGGTGTGTGTGGTTGGTTTGTTTCTCTCCCTCTCTCTCTCTCTCTTTCTCTGTCTGTCTGTCTGTCTGTCTGCCTGCCTGTCTGCCTGTCTCGCTCTCTGCATCGTCTGCTTTTGTTGTGTAAGCGCTGTGCGTCTACGTGCACTGTCATGCAAGACTGTATTTGCGCTTCGCGCTGTACACCCTGCCCCTGGAAGTTTGAGAAGGAGCGTGTGGTCGAGCAGCAGACTGCGTCCACAGGGTGGTCATGAACAGGACAGGCCGAGTTTAGGGTGTGAAGCACTACGTCAGGAAATCATGTTGCGAAACTTGGATTCCGTTCGCGGCGTCCTTGGGCCGTCTTGGGGCGATCTTGGAGAGTTTCTGTGGCCGTCTTGGGGGCCTCTCATGTTTCCTGGGGCCTTCTTTGGGCCCTGTTGGCCGTCTTGGAGCCCCCTTGTTGTGGTCTGTGCACCCTCTGGGCGGACTTGGGACCTCTTGGGGTCATCTTGGAGGCCTCTTGGACCATTTTTGGGGTCATCGTTTGTGGCGTCTCGGGCCTCTCCGGAGGGCCCCTTGGACTGCCATGCAGCCGAGAAGCGTGGGAAACCTCGAACATATCAAACACACACAGAGGATTTGGGCAGCTCTTGGTTGTCTCGGGCCCTCACCTAGAGGCTCTGGCGTCGGCAGGAGCGTCGAGGAGGTCCGGGCGGCCGAAATTCGACAGGGGGGAATGACTGTCACCCCCCGCCTCGAGACCATATATAAGTAGGAACGCTTCCTTATTGAGCAGTGTTGGGGCGTGCAGAGTAGGATGAGGAGGGGGGAGAGGGACGAGACGGAGAAGGTGGATGAGAAGGAGGATGACAGGCACCATCCGCCTTCAGACCCGCTTTCCTGCCCTCTTCTCGTATCAGATGTGTAGTATTTCCGCCTCTGCTTGTCCGTCCTCTTCTCTCCCCACCTTCCATGATGCTGCTGCCCACCAGGGGCTTCCCAAGCTGCAGCAGAACTGCAAGATCCAGCGTGCCGCGAGCGATTGCGAGAGGTGGGAGTGGGGATGACCAGCACGGACACCTCCGCTCTTTTGGCATCGCTCGGACGTGTGCATCTCTTCTCGGCGAGGACCATCGCGGAGCATCCTGGATCATCGTTGGGAAAATACGCGCACGACATTGAAACAAATGCACGGGAATTGGAGGGCGATGGCGAGTTCAAAGCATATCCCTCCTCAGGTGTTTCCCCCTCGTCCTGCTCCTGCTGCCCCTGCTCCTGCTTCTGCTGGTCCTCTTGCCTCCTGCCCCTCCTCCTGCTGAGTTCACTTTCCACCGCCCCTCCTCCTCTTCCTCCTGCCCCTCCTCCTCCTGCCCCTTCTCCTGCCCCTCCTCCTGCCCCTTCTTCTCCTCCTGCCCCTTCTCCTGCCCCTCTTCCTGCCCCTTCTTCTCCTCCTGCCCCTTCTCCTGCCTCTCCTCCTGCCCCTCCTCCTCCTGCTTCTCCTCGTTCGCCCCCCTCTTCCATCCTCCTGCCGTCTTCCCTTCCCACCAGTCAGTGCTTGCACTCGGGGTTCCGCGCGTTCCCTGCGTGACGGCCGGCGTCGAACCCGGGGTGGAGCGAGTGCAGGGGCGAGCCCCCGGGGGGAAGCGAGAAGGGGGGGAGGTGAGAAGGAAAGGGCCTTCTGAGGAGGCCCTCGCCTCCCCAGACCCCCTCGAGTAATGAAAAAATCATGACGGGAGGTTTTTCGCCATTTTCGGCCTCTGGGGGCCCTCACCGGGCCTCGGGAGCGTCCAAAAACGACTCAGGATGACAAACCGGTCCTGGGGAAGGGGTCGAGAGCTCTGGGGTCGACGTAATGAAAAATTCATTACGTCGGGGGTCTGGGTCCTCACTTCCCCCCCCCCCCTCGCTCGCCCCCGAGGTTGGCCCTGGGCGCTCCGGGGCCTCGCTCGGTGGCCCCCTCGTGCCCGCCCCGTGCGCTGGCGGGGTACTGTGTGGCGTGTCCGCCCGGTGTCCGCCCGGTGCCCGCCTCGGGCCCGGCCCGTGCGGCGGTGGGCTGTTCCTGTGGGCACCTGCAGTCGCGGCCCGCGTTCGACTCATCGGGGGCGAAAAAGAGGGGGGGTGATTACTGGGGGGGGGTTCGCACTCTACCTGCAAGGAGGAAAGACTGGTCTACTCTGTAAGAACGGTTTTTTGAAGGCAGATCTGCCTTCAAAAAACCGTTCTTACAGGGTGGATATCATGGGGCGGAAAAGAGGGGGGTGATTACGTACTGGGGGGGGTGGATATCATGGCGTGGGCCATGATATCTCCCCAGATTTCATGGCGCCTCTTCGTGTTTCATGACGTCCCTGGCCCCCCCGCTGGGCCGCGCACGTGCCGCCGGTCATGATTTGCACCCCCCCCCTCTTGGACACCCCCCACTCGGCCGCTCCCGAACTGAGACGTAAGAGTGACCCTTCGCAGGAGTGACCTTTTTCTCAGGGGAGGAGCAACCACCTGGACTCGATAACTGGCGTTTGCTGAACGGCCCTGGGCGTTTACTGAACAGCCCTGCCCTATTCGATTCCTTCATCGGGTGCGTTTACTGAACGGCTTCGCGTGTCGGGGTGATTATTCTGAGGGTGGATGTTCTGCTCTCTTCTTTCGTGGCGGGCCCACAGGGGCTCCCCGATGGCAGAAACGCGACGAGGTGGCAGCGTCTTGCGCGCTGCTGTGTGGCCCCCCCGCGGTCCCCAAAGAGCCGCGCAGCAAAGTTCACTCTGACCCAGGGTCACTCTTTCGTGTACGGTAGGCTCGCGTCGTGTCGACCGGCGGCGACCCCGCCGCGGGCGTTCAAGGTTGAACGCCGCCAGTGGCCCAGAATCGGCCTCTATGGAACGATCGGGCGCTCGAAGAGCCACCGATCGTTCAAGGTGGAACGATCCCCGCGGTGTCAGAAACCAAGGCCGGGGTCGACACGACACGAACCTTCCGTAGCCGACATGTGAATTCTGCCGACGAGCGTCATCGGAGAAAAACCCGGAACCCTCCTAACAAAGTGAGAACGCTTCCTTGTTCCGGTCTCTGTCTTTGCATTGGGGGTCACAGATCTGGGCGGTCTGGTTTGAGACTCTCCCCGCCCTGATCCTGGACTGGTCGTGCAGTCGCAGGCGCATCCTCCAGTCTTGGCTGTGAGTTGGAATTGCGCGGGAGGGCCGAGCTGATCTTGTCCCTGCTCATCAACAGCACGGTCATTGCGCTCGGCGGCGCTGGACAGTCTACGTAGTGTTTCGTTCATGCCCGCCTTGTTATTCGGCATCCATCCGCAGCTGCCTTCGTGCTTTGTGTTTCTTATTATGCACGCAGCCGAGAGGACATGTTTGATTGGCGGCACCAGTATCCTACCTTGCTTCCTCTTGATTTGCTACTTTCCTGACTGTGCCCCCCTTTGGGGGATCAGAAGCATCGATGACGGTCTCATCATCTAAGCCTCGGTATCCACAGCGTGCCTTCACGATGAGATCGCTTGCATGTCATGCCCTGTCTTGCGACAGCATCCTGACAGGCGTGGATTGATTTTGTGAATGTGTGAGATTATGTCGAGCACTCCCATTCGTGACTCGGTCCAAACTGTTCATGTGTTCTGCGAATGCGCCGCAAATGCACCGGAGGTCGGTCCAGAGCCGAAGCCGCCGTACACGCACAATTCTCTGGCCCGTCGCTTGCCAATTGGATTGAACATGAGATGTGCAAGTGCTAATTCTCGAGTGCATGTGGCCACTGTGTACGAACCAAGGAGCGCATTTGTACTCGATCAACAATTCTCCATCCCTTTCTCTCTTCCTCGCTCCTACCGTTCCCTTCTTCATTCTTCTCTTCTCGCACATGCTCCCCCTCCCCTCCACTCTCCCTCCCCCTCCCTTTCTTCATCTCCCTTCTCTTTTCAATATGCTTTCCCCTCTCTGTTTCCCTTTTATTGTGTGCGTGTGGGGAGTGGGGGAGAGTTCTCCCTCTCTTTCTCTCGCCCTCTGCCTGTGTCCCTCTCGCTCCGTTGCTCTTTTATCTCTCCCTCTGTCTCTCTCCGTCCGCCTCCCTGTCTCTCTCTCTCTCTGCCCGTCTCTCGGTCTCTCTCTCTCTCTCTCTCCCTCTCTCTTCCTACGTCGATCTCTTTCTCTTTCTCTCTCTCTCTCTCTCTTTCTCGACCCCTCCATCTAGGCTTTCCGTTACATGTGATGATAGTTTATGCTTTTCAGCAAGCACGATTGTCTACGCAGCGATCTGGAATTGAGCATTGGGCTACGGCTGGATATCATGCGCGGAGGAGGAGGAGAGGAATTGGAGGAAGAACAGAGCAGGAGAAGCATGAGGTGGGTGAGCGGGAGGAGGAGGAGGAGGAGAAGGGGGAGGTGGAGGAGGAGGAGGAGGAGGAGGAGGAGGAGGAGGAGGAGGAGGAGGCGGAGACGACGGAGGAGAAAGAGAAGACGGATGAGGAGGTGGAGTAGGAGGAGGACGGGGAGGAGGAGGAGGTGTCACGGAGTTCGTGTGACTGCGCAGCATGGGGTTTGGGGCTGTTGCCCGCCGATGTCACCGTCGGGCCGACATTATTTTGTGCAGGAGGACGGGTGGCATTCTCCCTCCTCCTCCCTATCCTCCTCCTCCTCCTCCGCCTCCTCCTCCTGCCTCCTCCTCCTCCGCCTCCTCCTCCTCCTCCTCCTCCTCCTCCTCCTCCTCCGCCTCCTCCTCCTCCTCCGCCTCCTCCTCCTCCTCTCCTCCCTCCCCCTCCTCCTCCTCCTCTATTCCTCCTCCTCCTCCTCCTCCTCTATTCCTCCTCCTCCTCCTCCTCCTCCTCCTCCTCCTCTCCATCTCTTCCTCCTCCTCCTCCTCCTCCTCCTCCTCCTCCTCCTCCTCCTCCTCCTCCGCCTCCTCCTCATCCTCTCCCCCCCCTCCTCCTCCTCCTCCTCCTCCTCCTCCTCCTCCTCCTCTTTCTGCTCCTCCTCTTACCTCCTCCTCCTCCTCCTCCTCCTCCTCCTCCTCCTCCTCCTCCTCCTGCCCCCCTCCTCCTCCTCCTCCTCCGCCTCCTCCTCCTCCTCCTCCGCCTCCTCCTCCCTCCTCCTCCTCCTCCTCCACCTCTCCCCCTCCTCCTTCTCCCCCTCCTCTTCCTCCTCCTCCTCCCCTCCCTCCTCCTCTTGCTCCTCCTCCTCCTCCCTTTCCTTCTTCTCCTCCTCCTCCTCCTCCTCCTCCTCCTCCTCCTCCTCCTCCTTCTCCTCCTCCTCCTCCCTCTTTCTCGGGCGTACGCTAGCATGGATTGCACAGGCAAGGGGCATGCCACAGGTGCTAACTGTATGGTTTGGTTCAGCTTCCCTGCACGGTGATAGGCCGACGGTGTGGTTAATGGGATTGGCACCTTGAGAGGAGGTTGGCAGGCCAATGGCATGGCTGGGCTGAGCTTCTTCCTGTACTTCCCGGGCCCCATGTACGCGTTCGCGACCCTGGATACGAATCACGATAACGTAGTGCAGATGTCTGAGGTCTGGAAGAATATTCCGATCGAGGCCTGTAGACCAGGGCACAACCCTCTCTTCCCTTCACCTTCGTCCAATCCCATTCCCGCGCAGCTCAGATCGCAGAGGAACTGACGCATCGTATTCCCCTCGCGGCGACAACGATGAGGAGGATAGTTGTGATGAGGATGACAACGATGGCGGTTATGACGATGATGACGATACAATGATCGTGATTGTCATTGTGTCGATGCTTACAGGGACGCGCGTCGGAATATTCCCACTGTCATTCATACGACGATCGATGCTGCTGCCACTGTGCTGCCACTGCTGCTGTTCTTACTATTGCTACCACCGCCACTGCCATTGCCACTGTCGTTGCCGATGCTAGTGCTAATGCACACAGACATTACAATGCCAATCTGCTCGCAATGGAAAAGACCACCGTCGCTACAACTACCATTGCAACTGCCCATCCACTGCCACCACCACTATCATTCCACTACCGCTACCACATTGAATACCGACTTCACTATCCGTACAGTCATCTTACCACTGTGACCACCATTAGCACTGCCACTGCAACTGGGACTGCTCCTGCCAGTGACCCTGCTGCTAAGTCTGTGGCTACCACTGCTGCTGCTGCGTCCTGACACTGCCGCAGTTGTGGCCACTGCTTTGGCAACCGCTGCCGCTGGCTATGGCCGCTGCCACGCCTACTGCCGTTGCTGCGGCTGCCGCTGTCCGCCCACATCGGGTGCCGTGAGCTGGCGGGTCTTGTCGTGCATCCCCGTGCCTCTTGCCTGCCGCGCAGTTCTCTGCGCCGTCTTCGCCTCTGCGCCGTCCTGCCCTCGCTTCCCCGCCCTCCCGCCCTCCCGCCCTCCCTGCCTCTTCCACCCGCGCCCCCCCGAGCCTCCCCGAGGCTCGAGGTGCAGTCGGCCCTGACTGGCAGGTCGACCATGCCGAATCAAGGGTATCCGCGAAGGGTCTAGATGTTGAGGACCCTCCCCCCCCTTGACCGCTTGGCGGGGAGTAGAAACTCGTCCCTCCTCCTCCTCCTTCCCCTCCCTCCTCCTCCTCCTCCTCCTCCTCCTCCTCAGAAACCTGTCTATGCTGTGGCCGCCGCGGGGGAACACCTATTTTCCAGTTATTGTCGGGTCCCAATCCGTCAATAAGCCCGCAGACTTTTTTTCCTTTGTTTCCCATTCTTTCCCGGGGGCTTATTCAAGACCCTTCGGGGTTACCCTTGTGTCCTGTGTTTCGCGACTCATGCCTCCTACATTCCTGTGGCAATGTGGTCCTCGGAAGGGTCTGTGTCCTCCCGCGTTTCCTGTCCAATCAAGTCCGACTGTAGCCTTTGCGCGTGCGGTTGGTGGCGTTCCGCGTTCTGTTGCCCTTCCGTCCGGCCCGCCCGTCCATCTCTTGGAGGCTTGCCTGACAGTCGTCTGCAGCAAGGCCCCCCCTGCCCTGACGTCCCTCTCCCTCCCGATCCCACTGCTTCGGGGATGCCCGACGCAACCGGGGCACCTCCGCAGACGGGGGACGGCACCCTGCTGGTGGAGAACGGGTTCTTCGAGGTCCTCGACGGAAATTTCAAGGACCGGCTTGGGCCGGGCGAAGATTGCCGGTTTTTTCGCCCCCCCCATTCTTCGCTCCTTATCTTCCTCTTTGTCCTCCTCCCTCTCCTTCTCGGCTTTCCCACTTCTGTCTTCCCTCTTCCCCCTCCCTCACAGGGTGGTCCGATCTAACCCCGAGTCCAGAGAAAAAGAAGCGAACACGGAGTGAAACGTGCTAGTGGAGGGCGATACAGATATTGGAAGACGAGAACGGCACGCCGAAGCGACCATCGTCCTCCTTGCTCCTCCTCTTCTCCTCCTCCCCTCCTCCCGCTCGCCATCTCCTTCTGCTCCTGCCCTCGACTCCCCCTCCTCCTCCCAGTCCTCCCTTCCCGACCGCCTCCCGCCCCAACTCCCTCCCTCCCTCCCAAAAGGCCATACAGTGGAGGCCCATTCCGAGAGACACCCGGCTTGCCTCCAGGGTGCCCTGGATTTCTCGGGTTTGGGATGTTTTTGTCATGGAAAGCGTGGCGCTCCCACACCAAAAATCAATGGACGTCCTTGGGTCTCATGTTTGGGGTTCTTGTGGAAGGGTTCGTGTGGTCTGGCCTCCGCTGTAGCCTGTAGCCAGCTTAGGCGATCGGGTGGAACCTCAGGGGTTGCGCGCCCGCCGGCCACAGGCTTCGAGTGTGTTGCCCGCGCACCATTCACTGGTACGCCCTGGCCAGAGCAGGGAGAGGGCGACCACGAAAGAACCAGCTCGGCATCGCAGAGAGCGAGCTCGCCGAGCGAACGATATATTCTTATTGGATTTGGCAGCAGAACACTGCTCAGCCAGATATGTCGCGCCAAAGACATTACACAGCGAGTGGATTCAAACCAGGCAGTGCCAAATATTTGGAATGCCCTATATGCAGCAGGTCCAATCTTGCAGCATCCAGATCATGCCGTTTTTGCCTCGCAGCGCTGGAAGAGGATGCAAAGCCATCAGATGAGACAACAGGGCAACAGGCCATGCAGGCACAATCGTCCTAATCGTCCAGCATCTCGTCCGCGGTAGCGCAAAGCAGACCAATGATGGCATGAATCAGCAGGTGGGTACAATTTCAGTTCCCAGTCGGAGGAGCAGCAGCAGCAGCAGCAGCAGCAGCAGCAGCGGGTCAAATCCACAGCACCAGGTGGACGCATCAGTCGCTCAGCATGATGAGCATCAGTTGCTCAGCACGACGATCGGCCCAGTGTTGCCAGAAGCTGCAGGGTCACACAGACTGTGGGTCCCAATGCCGTCAAATGCCGCAGACTTCGCCGAGCGCCGCCGCAAAACTGAAGAAGCAGCTGAACGCCATCAAGAGACAAGTCAATGTAGCATTCGGACACAACAGCAAATCGCGTGTCTAGGAACTAGAACAAGATTTTGAAGTGACGTTTTATCCTGTGATGTATGCTCGAGCGCCAGAAGAAGCAGTCTCACGCCAGGCTCATACGTGGATCGTGCCAAAACAGATAATAGAGGAGGCGTCGATTCGGAGGCACACCGCTATCTTAGTCAATGCCCATGTCAATTGTAGCACAAACAGGGCATAACTGATTTCGCAAACACGGGCACCTTGTTGCACAGACAGAGGTCAAAGCAGAGAAACTTGACGACTCGGACGGAGACATGAGCGACGTAGGGCATGACCAGCGTGCCGCCAAGGACGACATTGCGCGACCAGTCCGAGCTCGCACAGCACCAGCAGGTGAAATGCCAGCCGCGCCTCGTAGTGACACTGCAGGAGGAGGCGTCCCAGCATACGTAGCCACGGTCCACAGATGCAGCAGCAGCATATGATCACGCTGCAACAACAGATGCCAGTCATTCAAGCGGGCTTGTCAGAGCTTGGCGCTCATCAAATGCAGGTTGTTGGGGAAGCGCCAGCACCGCCAGCAGCAAGTATCACATGTGATCCAGCGACAGCTGCGCCGGCAGCAGGTATCCCATGTGATGCAGCAGACGCAGCAGCTGCTTGAGAGGCTGCAGTTCCAGCAGCCCCAGTGATATCGCCACCAGGGGACGAAGTTCTAGCAGAGCATCCGTTTCCGCCATGTTTAGCTGTGAGCACATGCAGCAGCGGACGCAGGTCCACCAGAGGGCAATCATCGCGGCCCAGGATCAGCTGTCAAGCCAGCCTTTTGCCAATCGGCCAGTAAGGACGCGCGCGGAGGCAAGGGCAGACGTGACGCGGGCAAGGAATCCGCAAGGCCACGCTCGACAGGGCACCGCAGCACTCAAACATCAGAACGGCTAGATTGGCAGCGGCGTCGGCCTCGAGTCCCATCGAGCTCGACGATTCGGTCCACGCGGATGGCGCGGATTCCAGTGCTACCAATTTTTTCCCCGAGCAACCTTGCGGCATGGGCTGCATGTTCTTCGAACCCAGAACCGCCGCCGAAGTCCACTGCGTGAGATCAACTTTCTGAGTCAGCAGATTGGGGTACAGCTGCCCCTATCATGGGGCCCGTCAGCGAAGATATCAGAGGAGCTGCCACGAGCCCAGTACCATCGACTGGGCCCACGCTTCGCCTGCTCAATACGCCGTGGTCTAAGGGGCTACGTGATGATAGTACTGCGTGTGCTCGTTTCTGGCACTCTGCCACGATTTGGGGTCTGGCAGACCTTGCCATACCTAATGCCGTCGAGGCCCCCACCCATGTGCACATTTACACCGTCGGGACCGCTTGTGGTCTCAAAGGCTCCAACTCTGCCGACCCTGCTCCCCCAGCCTTGGCTCTTTGCGTCGACTTCTCTGGAAACGAGTCTTGCTTTCTTCCTCCTCCTCCTCCTCCTCCTCTTCTCTGGCTCATTTCCCCTCCTCCGCCTTCCCCTGGTCGTCCAGATCCTCCCTCTCCTTGCACTCCAGTTCCTTCTTGCTGCTGTTCGTGCCGCCCCCGCGTGGGCCACTTCTCTGCATCGGAGTCTCTCTTCATCGCTGTCGCCCCCCTGACTCAAATCCCCTCCGCCCTTCCCTGGTCCTCCTTTTCCATCCGATCCGTCCCCTCTAGTTCCCGCTGCTGCTGGTCGTCCTCATCCTTGTCCTCCCGCTCCTCCTCCCGCTCACCCAAACCACCTCCTCCTGTGCACGCAGCTCCCCTCTCTGTTTTTTGTTTGTGGGAGTTGCGGGTCGGCTATGACGCGCGTTTGCGGATAGAAACACATCAGCGCCATCGGCCACGGGAAGGGATGGGAGGACGGGATGAGATGCCAGATTAGGCGCGGGCGCCCCAACCTTGTCCTCCCCCTCGTCCGCCCCCCCTCCGCTTCTCGCCCTCCTCCTCGTCGGCCTCCGCCTCCTCCCCGTGCCCGCTTACGTCCGTGATCGTGCGGTTGCCGCTGCCATCATCGTCGTCGCCGTCGCCGACGTTCGCGTCGCTGCGTTCGTTTGTCCGTCGTCGTCGTGGTCGTGGTCGTGGTCGTGGTCGTCGTCGTCGTCGTCGTCGTCGTCGTCGTCGTCGTCGCGGTGATGGTGGTGGTGGTGGTGGTGGTGGTCGTCGTCGTCGTCATCGATCTCCTTGCCGTAGTCGTTCGTTGCCGCCGTCGTTGCCGTCGTCTGTGGTCTGTTTCCCTCTCTGCCTTGACCTGGTCCCTTTCGGGTTGAGCGCGCGGCCAGCACAGACTCGTCCTAGAATCCTCCTCCCCCCTTCCTGCTCCTCCTCCTCCCTCCTCCTCCCTCGCCGACCCTCGCGCTTTCTCCTCCCCCCTACCTCCTCCTCCTCCTCCCCCCTCCTGCTCCTCCTCCTCCCTCCCCCCCCCTCGCCGAACCTCAAGCATCCTCCTCCTCCCTCCCCCCCCTCGCCGAACCTCAAGCTCCCTCCTCCTCCCGGTCCTCCTCTTCCACACGGGCGGTCGACGGCACCGGCCAACGCGCAGGATGGCAGCGTGACTCGGACAGACGCAGGGGGAGGGCTCCCCTCCCCGAAGGGAAGAGGGGTCGTGGAAGAGGAACGGGACGCTCGTTAGACCACCCGTCGCCCAGAGGGCTGGTGGGATTCCACAGTCCATGCATCGCCAACGTGCAGGATGGCAGCGTGACTCGGACAGACGCAGGGGGAGGGCTCCCCTCCCCGAAGGGAAGAGGGGTCTTGGAAGAGGAAAGATCAGGCGATCGCAAACATGGATTAAGGAGCGTGGATTGGCGGCGGGTCCCGTTTCCATGGGAAATCGCGGATTTCCGCTGCTGAGCGAGGCGTCACCGGCCGCCTTTCGGGGAGGGCACCTCCCGCGATCCATGGATTTGGCGACCGCGCACCAAATCCATGCACGCTGATCCATGTTTGCGCGCACCGAAAAAGAGACCCTCGTTAAGACCACCTGTCGCCCAGAGGGCTGGTGGGATTCCAAAGCCCATCGCTAGCGCGCAGGATGGCAACGTGACTCGGACAGACATGTACGAGTACATGCGCTCGCTGATCCTGGTTCGAGACGTTGTGAGAGACATGGACCTGGCGGGACTACCGTCCCGACTGCTCTGCTTATTATTATCATTATTTGTCTTCTCATGTTTCTTCTTATACGTATCATTCGTATTCGTTTTAGTCATTTGATTTTTATTATTATCATTCTTATCATTAGTATTATTATGTGTATGTTTCTTCTTATTATCCTTTTTCTTGTCTTTCTTCTTCTCTTCATCGTCGTCGTCTTTCTTCTCCTCCAGCATGCTTCTCCTCTGTGGACTCCCTCACTTGTCGCCCCGAATTCAGCCCAAGGCCGAACGAGAGTCACCCTCATCCAGACTCCAGCACAAAGACGACGCTTTTCCCCAACCCAGGCAACATGTTGCATCTTTTGAGTGTCTGTCAATGGGCAGGCCCTGAGGGGGTGACAGGTGACGACAGCCAGATCGGTCGTTGGTGGCTCTGTCAGGGAGTTGTCCCAGTGGCGCCCGGCTATATTTGAGGCGTTCTGTGGGTGCTTGTTTTACCATGCATGTCTGCGGGTACACATTCGGGGGGCCGTGTTTCGCTTTGCGCAGTCACATCTGTATTCGTTTGCCAACATTGCATCGTGATATTTGGTCACGGTTGTCTTTTTCATCGCCGCGAGTAACTATCAGTGCTGGGGTTGCCATGGCGCCTTCGCAGTCAGCGATGTGGCCCGAACTGAAAAGTAGCTGGATAACCTTCGCGTGCTCTTCTGGAGCACGTGCCTCAAAGGCAGGAGACAGTGTGAGACTTATCTGGTAGGAACCTTTACTTGTGGAGGGCAAACCGGACCACGGTCACAGTTAGTTATGACCGGACTGATTTTCGGTGTTGCTGTTGCTCAATTGCGAGGTGCGTAATAAGCCTGTCCCCTGCTAGGTAGGGTCGGCCCCCGGAGGCAATCACATCAGATCAACACTTTCCTGTGCTCCTCTTCCTGCCACCCCCAAGAGCTAGGCGGCGCTGTGGCATGCCCAACGCTCATGGCGAAGAGCGTGAAGTGCCGGGCAGGCCCAGGAGGCGCACAGTGGATCGTCGTGGCGCCGCCGAGGTGACTGCCGCTTCCAGGAGGTACCGTGAGGATCTCGACGATACGAAGGACCGCGAGCGTTGGGCGGAGCAGGCCCAGGAGGCGCACAATGGATAGTCGTGGCACCGAGGTGGTCTCCGTTCCCAGGAGGCACCGTGAGAATCTTGACGCTGCGAATGGCCCCGCGAGCGTGGGGCGGAGCGCGGGAGAGGCCCGCTCTCCAGACCTCCCGTGGGCGTGGTGATGGGGAGGCCACATTGGAAATAAACCCGGGCCAAGAAGCGCCCTGCCTCCAGGAGGAGGAGGAGGCGGAGGAGGGAGGAGGAGGAGGAGGAGGAGGAGGAGGAGGAGGAGGAGGAGTTGGAGGAGGGAGGAGGAGGAGGAGGAGGAGGAGGAGGAGGAGGAGGAGGAGGAGAGTATCCTGGGCTTCTTGGGTGCTATGAGAAGCGTGACGTTCCCTCACCAATAATCGATGGACGTCCTGGGGTCTCAGGGTTGGGTTTCCTGTGGTAGGTTTCCTGTGGTCGAGCTCCTGCTGTACGGCTTTCTGGGGGGCTCGGCGGTCCACTGCGGCCGATGCCTCCTCCGCTCCCGCCCCTCGAGGCGCCCCGCTGTCGCAGGCCAGTTTGTTTCCCCCCCCCCCCGACTCTCCGACGAAAAGGATGAAGCCGCTTAGCAAAGGATGGGAGCCCTGGGATGCACCCCAGGGGGGCTATTCGGACGCCCCGCTATCGAGGATGGACGCCCCCCATCGTGCATCCCAGGGTCGGCCACAAATTCTTGGTCCGCTCGAGGGCACCGCGAGGCCCGGGACAGGGGTCGACGTACGTAGCCCCTGTTGCGCGGGGCAGGTGAACCCCTACGCGCCCACGCCCAAGTGCCTGATATCCGCCCGGAGGGTGCTGGAGGGGGCGAAGGCGGCGCGCGCGAGGGGGGGGCGGCGGCGCCGGCCCGCTCCGCCGGCC